AGACTCGCTTGATCCCAGGAGTTCAAATCCAGCCTGGGCAATATAGACCTCATCTATTTTAAAAAAAAAAGGTTAAACTTTTACATTATATTTTATCATAGTTAAAAAACAAAGTAAAACACAAGTGACTGCTTCTGAAATCAGGCACATTAGAGAAGTGGCCTGATAGTCTCTGGGAGCATGGGACTCCAGGTGACAGCAGAGGTGAGCTCCTCCCTCCCCTCCCTAATCCGATGTCCCAATCCCACCCCAGTTATTTCTCCTCTGTCCCTGGTGGGACCGCCCTTTAGGCCTCATCAGTTCTATCTGTCCTACTCATCCTGAACACACTGTTACAATCAGTTTTCCAAACCATTTCAAAGCTCCTCAGAAAACTTCAGTAGCTTCTCATTGCCTACAGAATAGCCCAAACTACCTCAATAGACATTCTGCAGCCTCTGCAAACTTGTTCCCATTCACCTTTCCACAGCATCGTTTCTGACTGCTTTTCTCCACTGACCTGAGTTTAGCCTCTTTCAAAATGTTATTTTTCCAACTCCATGCTTTTGCTCACGATTTTTTCCTCCAATTAAAATGTCCTTCTTGCCCAACACTCACCCCTCATTTCTGCCTGGAAATCTTACCCATTTTGAGTATATGTAAGTAGAACCTTTGTGGAAGAGCAGCTTGGCAATATAGATCAAAATATAACATCTGCATGCCATCTGACCCAGCGATGTTCCATCTAGAAATTCGCCTTAAGGAGGCAGGACAAGATGTATATTTAAAAATATGAGTACTCATTAAAAACATCAGAAGCAACCTAGTCATCAACTGAAAAATGCTTTTGTTTGTTTGTTTTTGAGACAGAGTCTACCTCTGTTGCCCCAGCTAGAGTGCAGTGGTATCATCCTAGCTCACTGCAACCTCAAATTCCAGGGTTCAAGCGATCCTCCTGCCTCAGCCTCCCAAGTAGCTGGGATTACAGGCATGTGCCATCACACCTAGCTAATTAAAAAAATTTTTTTTTGTAGAGATGGAGTCTTGGTATGTTGCCCAGGCTGGTGTTGAACTCCCCACCTCAAGCAATCCTCCCACCTCAGCCTCCCAAAGTGCTAGGATTAAAGGTATGAACCACCACATCCAGCCAGCCATTCTTATTTCATCTATTACTTCTCTAGTTTACCTTTAACATAGTATTTCCCAAACTTACTAATATTTCACTGCCAAATTCTTTTTTAGAACCCTGCAGAAAAACACTGGAAAAAGCTGCCCTAGATGAAACAAATCTATTTTCTGTGCTCCCATTAACTTCTAGCTCAACCCATCAAGCATTCCAAGTACTTAAATCACATTCTTCACTGAATAAGAATTTTGTCATTTATTTTGCAAAACATTGTTAGAGTCAACTTTCCATCCTTGCTACAGGTTGATGGCTTCAAGATAACCTTAGTTACCAGCATCCTGTTTTCAGGGTTGTGGGTTCTAGCAGAGTTGATTTTATTACCTATCAGAACTGTAAGCATGGTTTTCTTGGGGGGAGGGTGGGTGGGAGAAGCATCCTTAAATTACGAAATAATTTCAAATTTACAGAAAAGTTATAGTAATAGGAAGAAATCCCATATTCCCTTCACCCACATTCCCGTTTGTTAAACCTTGACCATATTTGCTTTATTATTTTGTGTATATACACACATGCACATCTACATTGGTGTATACATATACACCCGTGTGTATATGTATTCCCCTCACCATTTAGAAAAAAGTTGCAGACATCATACCAACTTACTTCAATGTGTATATTCTAAGAACAAGGACATTAATTTTCATAACTACAGTATAATTATTAATATCAAAGTCAAGAAATTCACAGTTTTGGGAGGAGTTTGAGGTTGCAGTGAGCTTTGATGATGCCACTGCACTCTAGCCTGGGCAACAGAGCAAGACCCTGTCTCAAAAAAAAAAAAAAAGAAATTCATGTTGACATAATACTGTCATCTAATATATAGGCCTCAGTTAAGTTTTACCAGTTGTCCCAATGTCCTTCATAACACAGAACAAACACACAGAAAAATCTTTTTTTTCTGGTCCAGGTTCTAATCCAGGGCGGCATACTGCATTTAGTGTGAATATCCTGAAGGAGCTGAAAGAAAAAAACCGTTTCTTAAATACATCAATCTGTACAAACTGATATTTAAAAAAAACAGAGGCTGCCTGTAAACTAAAGGATAAATTCCCATATAATGGGTGTTTTTGTAAAAGCACCACATGGTTGGGAGACCACAGCTCTCCTCTGCTTCCTGTAGGTCCAGAGGAAATCCTCTGTCAGGCATCATTAGGCGGGACAGAGAAAGGGAAGGGAATCCGCAGGTGTGATAAGATACCTGTAAGAAGCTCCGTGGCTCTCACAGAGCTTCTAGTTGTCCTGGCACAGAGCTAGATGTCCAAACCTAATTATGTCACTGCTGTCATCATGGGAAGCTTGAAGAGGGAAAAGCTCCCAGCACCTGGGTGGGAAATTCTCAGAACTCCATTCTTCAACACGAGGGATGCGTAGAGTTTCCTGTCCCACTGGAATTTGCAATTCATCATCAAATTTGCTTCAAGATGGTATAGGACACTGATGTAACAAAAATATGGGCAGTTAGCCTGAGAAATGAGGTCAAGCTTGAGAGGAAGCAAGCAGACGAGTACTTGAATTGGAAACTGAATCTGATGCTACTCATGAGATCAGGAGCTGCATCTCTCGGCTAGCAGTCATTATCTCTACCTGCGAGTATCAAAAACCTGGCCTCCCCAGTGCTCTCCTTTCTTGGTTTACCATCGAGAATCCATTAGGAATACCAGCATCAAATGACTCAGGCAAGACAGCTACCCATGCCTAGAGGAAGAATGTTCAAATATTATAAGAGGTATTTTCTGTGGAGTGGTATAAATTAAAAGTGGAAGAGAACTTCCTTAAAGATCATGTTGCCTAGTGACGTTTTTTTTGTTGCCTAGTGATTTTATTTTGGTTTTTTTGTTTTGTTCTTAATTTTTTATTTTTGTAGAGACAGTGTCTCATTATGTTGCCCAGGCTGGTCTCGAACTCCTGGCCTCAAACAATCCTACCACCTTGGCCTCCCAGAGTGCTGGGATTAGGGGTGTGAGCCACCGTGCCAGGCCCACATTTCATTTTTGACAGAGGAATTTTCTCATACATACTCTTACATGGAACCCCAAGAGATATAGCACATAAAGCAAAAATGCCATGACAGAGGATCCCAGAGGTCCATTACGGCCCCACTTAATGGGTGTGTAAAGCGCGAGCTACACACCCCTGGTAGGCACGATTTACCCCCTAGTATCATAGATTTTCATAGTTAACAGGACAATTTTCCAGCAGAGGGCAGCTGTATCTTGAGGACTTTTTGAAATCTGCATGAAGCCTCCGTGTTGACTGGCTACAGGGCGGAGCCCCATCCACTCAACACCCCCATCCTGAAGTTGGTGCTTTCCAAACTGTTCCCTATGGTGGTACACAAAAAATCACACCATTTGTAACGCACAGGTAAAGACAGGAAGTGCAACGGCAACGGGGTCTGGGGAGGATGTCTGGCAGCCCCACAGGCTAAGGAGGCCAGCACACCAAGACATGCCAGCTAGGAAGCTCTACCCTAAGGACCTGCCAAGCAAGCACAATTGGAAAACTACAGTGACAAGTCCAATTCTTTTGTTTTGCAGGGGGGGCTACTGAGGTTCAGAGAGGGTGAATGACCTACCTAAGGCCACAAAACCTAAAAGTGAATTGAGGGGGGCAAGGGCAATATATGTAACCTAAACATCTGTACCCCCATAATATGCTGAAATAATAAAAAAAAAAAGCGAATTGAGCCCAGGACTCCTGACTCCATCCCAATGTTCATTCCACTGTCTACTTTAAAAAACTTTACCATGTCCATATCTCTTGCTAGATAAAATAGGGTCAGTTAATGGTACATAATTCTAAACAGGGAATGACAGAAAGAGAAGCAATTTTCCCAAGGTGAAGGTCAAAAACAAAAAAAAGGAAGAAACACATACCACTTTATACCTAGACTGTGTACTATCATGCCCCTAATGATGTACATAGTCAAGGTACAGGACATCGATCATAATGAACCAACTAGACAACAGCTTTGGGTTTTTTAAAAATTAATCTTTATTACTTATTTTTTAGCACCATAGTCAACAATTCATAGAACGGGTCACTTCAAGCCACTTAAGAGTACCAGTAAACACTCCCCCACAAGACATTTAGCACAGAGGAATACATCTATGGCTGCTGCCTCGGCAGTATAAAAGAGAATGAGTCTTTCCATAAAGCAAATCTCAACTCTTAATAGTCAAGCTCTGGATTTTGGCAGTGGCCTTAGGCAAATTTATCATCATTCATTCCTCAGAACATATATAAAAAATTATAAAGCAGTTCTCAATTCCTTCCTAACATCTTTATTTAATCCCAACTAATTGGTTACGGATGCTCAGCTCATGTGTAATGTTGTAAGCCCCATCTCAGCCCAACTGATTCAAACTGAAGATCAAAAAAAGGCACCTGCCCCAGTCCATGCATCTCTAGCCATGCAGGGAACAAATTCCAAATTAAGACAACAAAGAGTGCGCCTTAGTCAATGTTACGTGTGTTTCCAGTCCTAATCTCAGACACTAAGCTATCCCTGATGCCATCTGGGGCTTAACCTGTGTGTTCACCGCACATTTCCTCTGGATTTAGAATTTTCACAAGCTGAGAAAGGCAAAACAACCATAACCCAGACTTGCATAAGGGTCTGGCCTCAACTACTAATGATACTTTAGAGGGGACATTATGAGTCTTTACGTTTTTCTGGGAATTCATCTGAACAGGGGTGGGGTGGACAGGTGGTGAAAATGGTGAGCTCACTCTAGTGCAGAGTGAAATGGTTAAGGTATTACCAACTTTCTGAGAGATACTAGAGACACAAGAAATAAAGGATGAGACTTGGCGTTAAACACCTTTTCTCATTACTTTTGCAAAAATAAGAAAGGCCAATTCCATCTTACTTTATCATGTAGACCCCTTAGGAAGCTACCCAATTTACTAAGGGACCCCCCCCCCAAGACTTTGTGGCCCATGAAAATCTCCTCTCCAAGTCATAAGGTATAAACATATAAAAATAAATATTGGCAAATTTCTAAATCTGACATGACTTCTCCCATACACAGCCATCCTCAGTTGCTTTATTATTGCCTCTTTGCAACATGATGGCGATGGTGGGTGACGGAGTGACATCAGGAGCGCCAGAAGGAGGATGTCAGAAAGCCCTTGGGGACAGGAATCTCCTTGCGTTGCAAACATTTCTGTTAGGAAAAAATGAAGAAAACAAGAAGAGTTTCTGATAACAGTGCTTCCAACACTTAGTGGTTAAAAGAAACTTTAAGTCCTATGGAATGGTGCACAAAAAAGGAAAAGACAGACCGACGGTTCTGTAAAAGACGACCACTTCTGCATAAATGCCGCAGAGAACAAGTAAATGGCTGTGATTATGCCTGCCCCACCCTTGTCTCCCTACAGCCGGGCCTCACCTTTCACCAGTGCTATTTTCCCAGTTGAGCTCGTGGAAGCTGAACGTCAGTAGGCTATCTTGGCACACCTACCATGGAGTTCTAAATTATTTGTCAAAATTAACCTCTTAACATTTCTTGGCACTTGGAAATAGGGAAGAGTCCAACTGAAAGTGCAGTTTGTTCTTATGGAGGAAAGTGATCACAATCACCAGTAGCCCAGACCTGAGACTGAGAAAAGAACTTTGGCCAAAATGCAAAAAATGTATTGGTGAGAGAAGATTCATTAAATATAGTTTATTCATCTCTTAGGATTGCTTCCTCACCGGCAGTATGGAGAGTGATACGTAGGAAGAAGATGAAATGGCAGCCCTTATGCCAAGTGTTAAAGGGGAATTAGGAACCAAAAGCAGGGTTTGGAGAAACTAAGAGGAAGAGCCAGCAATCAGAGCATCTGGAGGTCCAAGACTTATCAGACACAGACACGTTCCAAGCCAACAACTATGGGATGTGCTAGTCTAAGAGCATCTTACCTCCAAGAACTGCTTGAGGCGTATGAAGGAACCCCTCTGTCCTGTGCTTGTGATGGCTTCAATTCTACATCGAGAGAAAGAACACACGTGAATTACACCTGTGACACACACCTATCTTCTGAAGAGGAGTTAGGAAGGTATGGTGTTGATCTGAAGTAAGGGGGATACATCAACTGACTCATAGAGATGTCTTCTAGACTAAGGATGCTGTTGCTCTTCCAAGTGGTTCCAACCTTCTTTTCAAATAAGAGGATCAAGGAGGGAAGAGCACTATTCTTTCCAAGGTCTTTGTGATCAAGTGGGAGGGTTTTGCTAAGGCCTTCCCCCAACTTGAAATGCCAATGCGTTGAGAGGAAGGAGATGGGTTCTTAGAGATGAATACCACACCAGAGTCAAGAGAAATGACTGATAAATCAGCCTCTCCAGCTGATTAAATGAGAGGATTTGACTTCTTGGTTTAATTTATGACTACCTATAATCACCACCCCAGATTATCTGGGGGAGTTTGGAAAAGAATTATCAAAAAATGCCAGATATCTTAAAAGACCTCTCTAATTTGTGTTTTTGTTTCACCAACAATAGATAAGAGAGATTGTCATTAGAGTTTAAAAACATTTACTCAAATATCAAAGAGGAGGCCGGGCGCGGTGGCTCACGCCTGTAATCCTAGCTCTCTGGGAGGCCGAGGCAGGCAGATTGTTTGAGCTCAGGAGTTCGAAACCAGCCTGAGCAAGAGCGAGACCCCATCTCTACTAAAAATTAGAAAGAAATTAATCGGACAATTAAAAATATATAGAAAAAATTAGCCGGGCATGGTGGCACATGCCTGTAGTCCCAGCTACTCGGGAGGCTGAGGCAGGAGGATCGCTTGAGCCCAGGAGTTTGAGGTTGCTGTGACCTAGGATGATGCCATGGCACTCTAGCCAGGGCAACACAGTGAGACTCTGTCTCAAAAAAAAAAAAAAACAAAGAGGAGAAGGACAGGAGTAGGAAGATACAAGTGTTTATTTTTATTTGTTAAAATTTACTTTTATGTTTTATGCTTTTTAAATTTTCTGTAGTAAAAAATGGTCTCAAACTATGGTCTCACTATGGTCTCAAACTCACAGGCTCAAGCGATCCTCCTGCGTTGGCCTCCCAAGGTGCTGGGATTACAGGCATGAGCCACCGTGCCTGGCCAACACAGGTGTTTTTAACCTGAGTCAAAAACAGCATGTAATAGAACCCAGGGGTATCTGACACCTGGTTCATGAGTTTTACCTACTAAATCCCCTGTGTCTGCTCAACAAGCCTGATACCTGGGGAAGTAGTCCTCTTTGATGAGAATTATCATTTTCCAAAACTGGACCTGATACTGCTTCATGAGGGCATTCCCGCACACCTAGAGGGAGAGACAGGCACTGTCAGAGCAGAGAATTGAAGATTCACACTCACAGGAGAGATCCATAAGCACCCAGCCCTTTGCTTTTTTCACTGCTATAAAAATCTCAGCCACACTCCACTTCCGCTGCTTCATTTGACTAGCCTTGAATTTTAAAAAAATAATAAAATAAAAATACTTCAGCCATGATCTACTGAACTAGCTAACAAGGGAATAAATGGAAAAATCCAACTTTCTTCTAAAGCATTTCTTTGTACATGGCAATATCTCCATTTAACTGGACTGTCAGGTCTTAATGAACTACTCTTCTTTCACTTTTCCAAATAGAAGCCTTCTTAAAGGTACAGCTTACCTCCCAAACTCAATAAGCAGAGCATACAGAAGACCACTTGTGTTTTCAAATGATGTCAGATCACTGTTCATGTATTGTCACTTTAGGAGCTATTAAGGTGACTAGGAACTATTGGCACTGGAGGCCAAACGGTCCTGGATTTGTTATGGAATGTATCCCAAGCCTTTCTTCTTTAAGAAGTATCTCCTTTCCATAGAAACTCTTATCCTTCTACTATAATGGTGGGCCCTTATAGGGAGACAGAACTGTAGAGAGCCTTCTAGATCGGGGACATACATGATAGAAGGTAGCTAATCACATCTTCTCTCCTGGGCATTGGGAATCAGAACAGTGGGATGCCAGTGCCACCTCACTGGGTGACTACTCTAACACTGAGTGACATAGCCCAGGATAGTTACCTTCTCTGTGTACAGAGAAATAGGGAAATTTGGCCTATAGGGTAACAATGAGACAACGTGCAGGAAGAGCTGTTATAAAACCATGTGGCCCCACAGAGAGACTACGTTGGTGCCTGGTGACATTCCAGGTCCTGGTTCCAGGCCCTCCTGAGATTCAACTGCACATCCTACCCTTGCTTCTGGGAGTCACTTCTATATCCCTAAAACAAATTCGTCTTTTCACTTATGATAGGGTGTACAATTTCCATTCTATTTTATAATGAAAAAACATCTACACAGAGAAGGCAAGTACAGTGGGAAGAAAAAGTGAAAGCTAGGTTTGTCTTATGGCTCAAGAAAATATTTATGATGTTGGAATCTAATGCTGTTCACCGTCAGGCTCAATTTCTACATTGCTTCTCTGTTCATGTCACCCAGGGGCCCAAGGCTGCCTCAACCACTGGCCTTCTCTTATATGATAACTGAGTTATGTACCTCCAAGAAGTCAAAGAGGAGGGTGGCTGTAACATCTGACAGGGGCTCCATGTTTAAGATCTGTGCCAACCAGCGCCAGCCATGATTTAAGCCATGAGGATGAACCTGGGAGGAGAGAAACTTGGTCATCATTTCATCTAAACTCCCAGCGCATCATCCAGCCATCACCAAGTGGACATGAACCCCAGATCATGCAGCCCAAGCACCTGCCACAGGCCAGAAATAACACGAGCTAAACAAATTCTGCTTTTAAATGTTCCAATACATTGGTTCTCACATATTCTTTACAAGATCCCTTCAATACATGTATGTCACCTTCAGTTTCAAGGATTCCACAGGCCAACAATTATTCTTATTGACATTTTATTTATTATTCTTGGTACTGTTAGCACAGAACCTGAGACAGAGCAGATGCACAATAAAAACTTCTTAGATTCAGTCAACTTCTATTTTTTCTCTTTAAGTCTCCAAGTCCATTAACTTTTCCATCCCGCTAATCTGTATTTCTTGAGAAAAGAAGTGGGCTGGTGGGTCAAAGCCCTGAACCCCGGCTGTGACAGGTGTGTGTCACTCTAGCTTTCTGAGCTCCATCTGTCAAGTAAGGTATGTAATCGACATGGCTTCTAAGGCCCCAACTAGGCCTAAAATGACAATTTCTTGTCGACTCCTTTTCTAACCTTAATGATTGATTTATAACAGACTCTCCTTTGGTACACTCTGTTATAAATCCAGTTTTTTAAAGCCCCAGCTGAGTCAGCCATTGAACAAATAGCTCTGACAACCTAAAAAAATTTCCTAGTAATAAACATCCACTTCTCCAAAGAATACCTATGAAACTGCCATATACTTTACCTTAAGATTTAACTACATTGACTCTCTGAAGGAAGGCCGCTATTTCCTGTGGGTGGAATACACCACCGGGAGCTCTGGTCCAACCTCTCATTACTGATGGTAAGCCTCTTCTACCTACCTCTTGTCGGGTTCCATATGGCCACCGGAGCTGGATGATGGCAGCATAGAGACGGATCATCCCAGACATGCGTTTCAGAAAGTTGTCCTGTTGCTCCACTTTGGAATCCTTCACTTGGTAGCCAAGCATCCTATGTAGGAAGAAAAAGTTCACTATGACAAGGCTAAAATGAGGGGGACGAATTAGAGATTACTTTTTATGGCTGCAAAAGTAATAATATAATATTATTACGTTTAGCGTATCTTTTATTCTATTTATTTTTATTTTTTTATTGAGACAGGGTCTTGCTCTGTTGCCCAGGTTAGAGTGCAGTGGTGTCATCACAGCTTACTGCAACCTCAAACTACTGGGCTCCAGCAATCCTCCTGCCTCAGCCTCTTAAGAAGCTGGGACTATAGGTGTGCTACCATATTTGGCTAACTTTTTTTTTTCTGGGTAGAGGCAGGGTTTTGCTGTTGCCCAGGCTGGTCTCAAACTCCTGGCCTCAAGTGATCTTCTCACCTTGGCCTCCCAAAGTGCTGGGATTACATGCACAAACCACCGTGCCTCACCTAGCGTTACTATTAATACATAACTTCATATTATAAAATATATAGAATACTTTGTTTACAAAGCACTCACATCGATTGTCAAACATGTGCTTCTTTTTTTTTTTTTTTTTGAGACAGAGTCTCACTCTTTT